CTGTTACCACATTCACATTCAGAATTTTCGTCCGTTTGCGAAAAAGTTTTCATTCTGCTCCTTCTATTTTTTTGGTCAGTACAGTTGAAAACAATGATCAACTTGATCCCATTAACTATTAGAAATCGAATGATCATTCCTAAAGCAAATTTTATTGAACAAAATTCTACTGGTGCATCCTCTCCCTTTTATTACCGTGTGTGTGTTTTTTTCCAGATTGTTGTCTTAGTAGTTTTTTTTCTTACACATGTTGTTAAACCTTTGTGTATCAATACTACTCTGACGGAGAAGGGTCAGGATAAAAAGTTTGTCCTGAAAATGTAACTGTAAAGTTACATTCACACCGGCTTATTCTGTGTATGTAGGGATTACTGCGGCAACAACCTACAGATTATTGTAAAAGGTATAGCAGCCGCATCTGTCAGTGGCAGTCCACATGTATACATGCATCGATAACCTGTGTCCAGGGACACTCATCTACATGCAGACATCCACTAAGAGATGCGACCGCTGTCAGCCTGTCATTAAAGTGACACTAAACTCAGGAGTTAAACCTTAAAAATTGATTCAAGTACCTTAACTATTGACAATGCTGGACCTTATTTGTGCACCACTCGGCTGTAGATCCTCATACAAATATTACGAACAGCGCTCTCGGATTGGGCCAAGGGAATAGGGTGCTGTAACTCTGCCTCGCCTGCAGCCCTAAGGGACAGGAGGAGTGCCTGTACTAGTGGTAACATCCTCGAAACGCGTTGTTCCCGAGCCTCCACCCACTGCTTCACCAACCTGATCCTTCCTCACTCCACCACCACCCCGGCCGATTCTCCATCCTGCATCTTCCCCACGGCCCGGACACTGGCCCAGACACGTACACCTCACAGCCCGATCTCCTCCACCCGCAGCTGCAACCCAGCCTGACGTCAGTCCTCACACCACCGGCACTTCACATTGCTCCAGCGGTGACACGGACACACTGACACATCCATCTGGTCCCGAGACCCACTCAAAGTAAGTGAACCATTTCCTTTTACTTTCTCCACTGTGCCACTATCACTTTTTAAGTCCCCCTAGCCTTGCGCCCTCACGTTCGTTTTTTGTTTCTGTAGATCCTCATACCATCTCTGGATTGGTGCTGACACTGTCCTTCCTTCTGGAGGGTGGCTACTTTTGTTCCCCATGGTTCCTGTGTGTGTTGTAAAGTAGCCACCGCTCCAAGCTCACCCCCGTGATGGACTACAACCTCAATACAAATGACTAAACTAATGATGAGATTGTAGTCCGCCACTGGAGTGAGCTTGGAGCGCTCTATTGCTCCGCAATTCCTATTTGTTTTATTTATTTATAAAACAAAAAGAAGCTTAGCTCTCATTTCTTGTATCATGTGAATGAAATAAAGGCGGGAATGAGCTAGATGTCTCATAGGCTGGTTAAAGTGAAGAGAACGTCATGCAGTTATCGACTCATGACAGTATGAGGACAGTTAGGGAGTGACAACAAATCAGTTATCACACACTTTTCTGGTACAGAAGCATTCAATGTGTTTCTGTCTGACACATGCTGTTTTGTGCATACAGAGAAAGATAAGGACCGCAGAGGAGAAATGGCGGGAACTTGTCTACATTACTAGATAACAATATGTTAGAAGCAAGTGCATGTGGTACTGCTTTCTGGTGAGAAGTCACAAGAACTTTGAATGTGAACAATGTTTCTTTCAAATATAAAGCAGACTAGTATAATAAAAATCAAAATGATATTAAAGTCAAAATGTTTTTAAGCTATTTCAAATGCTGATTAATTCACTTACAATGGATGCTGCACCTTGATATTTCAAAGTATTTTAGCTTCCTGCAGAATCTGCTGGTCCTCTGAGCACTGGCCCTGATATCCTATTTTAGGGTGGCTCCTTTCTCTTGCAGGGTCCTATGGAGCCACTCTTGTGTGTACTAGTAAGCTGTGTGTGTCTCCACAAATACACAGCGAGGCAATCCACTCCCCTCCACATGCTCCTCTCTTCCTCCCTTCTGCAAGCTAGTGGATGGACAGCTGGAGCCTGTGTTCTTGTACTGACCAGTAAGTTCAGGTAGGCAAGCTGAGAGAGTTGGAGCCATTCAGAAACATGAGAACTGTAAGTGCTTGGACAAAATATAAAAATATACTTTCCCGCGCAATGCATATTTGTTTGATCTAGATTCATTACCGCAAAAACTTTGAGAGTTAATAAGGATCTTCACTTACTAAGTGGAATAGGATTAGTTTATTTCTTTAAAAACTGATTTTTCTTATTTATTTATTATTTCTAGTCTTCACCCACACATACTGCAAGCGGTCCTATACTGCATATATCTCAAACCAGAGGCAGCAAATTTATTTAAGGAAAATGTGCACCTTAAAGTGGACCTGTCCTTTTTCAATTACTATTCAACTTTTAATAAATTGGAAAATAAAATATCAAACAACATTTTTTTTCTTGGTGTCATAAATGCACAATTCTATAGGTCATTTCCTGATGTCTATTTTTGTTTACAAGAAGTTGTTTCTTACAACTCCAAAAATATATGAAAATATGTATGAGATGAGTAAACCCTGTTTGTCATATAGAAAAAGCTATTGACACATTGCACCATAACTAGTGACACCTATCACACAACAATAACACAGCTTAATATACAGACAGCAGATGATAATCATTATATGCAAACTTTGAAATTGCCTAAACATCACCCACCCTATCATTATGCATAAGAGTATCAAGCTGATATTTGGGGTGTGTATACCTCAGCTGGTCTGAAAATCCTCCTGCAGCCATTCCCACTGTTTAAAATCAATGCAAAAAAACCCCATAACCAAGAGATCTAAATCAGTGGTTCTCAACCTGTGTAACCTCGGGACCCACATGTTTCCTTGGTGATATGCCCCACATGCCTTAGGGCTTATACACATGGGCATACAGCAAAAAAAACATCCGATACTTCTGATCCTGAGAGTGACAAGTGTTGCATACAGCCATGGGCAGCAATCAGTACAAATCAAGAACAGGCTGCGGCCTGTCACTACCAGGTGCAAAGGTAGTGGTTGCTTTTTACAGTGTATGACCATTCACGACCATGTGAATGAGCCATTAGCTTATACCAGGGCTGGACGAATCCCAGGAGCCGGGTAACCAATGCTCCGTAAGCATTACAGCTGGTGCCCAACTTTTGAAGTTCTCTCTACTCAATGGAGCTTGCTCCTAAAAAAATCTTCCTGGCTCCTGGACTGGACAGGCTGGCTCTTGATTTCCTATTAATGTGTCCACCCCTGCCTCATACATATAGCTGCAAGCATTCTCTGTGTGCATATTTCAACACCCTTTTTTTTATTGTATAATCATAATAGGACTCAACCCCTTCCACCTGTGATTGGTATTTAGTGGGCACTATGCAAAGCAAGTCCCAATTAATTCAGAAGGCCACCTCTCTCTTTCTCCCTCTCCCACTCTTATTGCTGCTGTGCAGGGAACTACGGTATATAGGAGGCAGATACCATCAGATTCAGGTATATATACCAGCCTTACTTAAAAAATAAAATGTTTTCAAAATTTCTTCGAATAGTTCTTTAACATGACCTTGTTTAAATATTGCTGTTGTGCTATTTTAATAGATGCGCATTTAATTTTGACACATATGTGAATAACTATTGTTTCTGCTACTCCCTGCATTTATCTTTCCATTATGTGAAAGGATAAACACGCCTTCACATTTATCTTTCTTAAGCCAAGGACGACCCTGGTTTCCTATCTTTTGCAGAGATATTCTTCAGGAACCAGGCAACAGACGGCGACAGAAGTGGAACTATTTTAGGATTGTTTTGTCTAAAATAAGCCAGCATTAACCGTTTGCAGTTATGCTGCCGTTTTCTACCACAAAAAGATTTCCGACAGGTGACCTGTAAGCTATTTGGTGAATTGAGTTCAGAGTTCTGATGTGTTTACAACAAAAGCATACTGCAAAATCTCTGTACACTTCATTCAGTAAAAACCGCTTGAGGGAATCAAACTTAGGTCTGAATGTGTGACCCTGACAATCATAATGATAATAATAAAAAAAAAGTGTTCAGCATGGTCAGTTTTTGCAGTATCACTTACACCAAAATAGCGATACAACATAGAGATTACTACGAGAGCCATGAAATCAAGTAAATTAGGGCCGGTGCCCTAAAGGGATTATGATGAGTGTTACATAAACAAACAGCTACTTATAGAAAGAAAAGACTGGATACTGAAAAACAAACAGGGATCATACAGTTGAGCTCACCCATTTTCAGATTAGGACAATGACACAGAAGACACATTATGGCAGAGTGTGTGCATGCGTTGCCTACTGGCGTCCCTAAGCAACAAGGCTCATGGCTGTACAGCACATAATCGCAGCTGATCACACAGTGATGTAGCCCTTCAAGCTGATAGAACCCACAATGTAGACATCATGGAATTGTTGACTTTTTCTCAATGCATATGAAAGATGAAGTAACACTAGTGCACCAAGTCTGTGTCGCACGAAAGTCAGCAGGACTTGGACGCATTTCGAGCAGTATATAGCCAGTTTACTAAATCATGGGCTGTCTCCCTGTGGGCACCTAGTTTACACCTCTCCCCCTAGATTCAATAGGTTTCACAAAGTATATAGCCAGCTTTAGTCTATCACAGAGTCTCAGCATTGTCGTATGGGTGATGACCATATACAGTATGCTATGCAGTTCTCAAGCAATAGTACATCTAATACCTAAGCTAGAAGTTTGTGATATTAGAGACCTTGACATTATATATACATACATATATCATCAGGCCACAGAGTGGAATTTTTAGTGCAAAGAATAACTGAGGTTGCCCTTAGCAATCAGTCAAATATCAGCCCTAATATTACTTTTTTATTAACAGTTTCACAATCTATTGACTAATAGCAAACATTTTCACAGTGAAGAAAATGAAATGATATGTAGAGCAGCAACTTCATACTTACTGTAAGAGAAGTGAAGGTCATGCACATTCCACCAAAGCCATTCAGACATAAGGCTACAAATATCAGCACAGACAGAGCTGCAATGGAAATGAAAAAAGACATGGACTGTTACTGACTGAGCTTTCTATCTGCCAATCATAAAAAGAAACATTATTAAATATGGTCGTCGTCTACACTGATAATTATAAAAAAGTGTCACAGAAAAGATTAATCAATTAAAGGAGAACTAAGGGATGAGTGAATTACACACGTGTGACATTAAAACTGTCACATGTCGGCTCTATTGATCGAGAAGTGAGCAAAAACATACCGCCGATCCGCTCACTTCCCGATTATCTCCCTGCAAAGAGCGATTCCCCCCTCCCCTCTCCGACCCTCCAGCGCTGACTGGAGGGATGGACTGGGGAGGGCATAGCCAGCTGGGTGGATCCCGACAGTATTGTTGGGATCCATCCCAGCTGCGGCGCTCTCAGTATATCGTGGGCAATAGCCCGCTTTATCCTGAGTTTAGGGTCACGGTAGGACACAGTATATGTCCTCCCTTGATGAGCAAAAATGGTTGTTCAATAGTTCTTGTTTAATGATTCATTTATTGCGTGCGGGTCCGAGTGTCTGCACTAGGATGCACACTGTCCAAGTGTGGACACCCGGACCCTCACGTGCAAATTCGGGTGTGCGGATGACAGCGTACAGCCGCATACTCCCATAGGGAAGAACAGGCTGCTGCGTGCAATTGCACGCAGTACCTGTCCCTCCCAGGATCGGACCATTTACAGGCATGCATGCCATCTGAATGAGGCCTAAAGCAGAAATCAGATAGCAATATGCACTCTTTGTTTTATAAGATACCATAAGTCTTTAATGAAACACATAGGGGTCTATTCACTAAGCTGCTGTAGGCAGCCGAATGAATGACCAACCTGAAGTGAAGTGAGCTGAACGCTGTTCGGCTATTCACTTCAGGCTGGTACGGCTGATTTCAGCCGTATATCAGCTGAAATCAGCCGTACATCGGCTTTCTTCACATGGCTTCGGGTCGGCCAAACATGCTCAGCATGTTCGGCTGACCCGAAGTGCAGAAGGAGTTCGACTCAGCCGATCCAACATCTGGATCGGCTGAGCCGAACCTCCAGCAGGCTACTCACTGCTGTTCGGCCTATTCTTATAGATGCCGAACAGCAGTGAGTGAATAGCCGAATGCCGCTCAGCTCGGCTGTTCTGCTCGGGACCGAGTAGTTCAATAGTTTAAAAAGTAAAAAAGAAGGAAATGGAAAACGGTTGTGCGGAGCTAGCAATGACAGCTAGCTCCGTCCAACAGTTTTCTATTGTCCGGCGGTTCTGCTGCTGTAAAAAAAAAAAGAAAACTCTCCCCGGCGCTCTGGGAGTCTCCCGCTCCCGGCCGCCCAGGAGAGAAACACTGATTTCTATTTTTTTTTCTTTATTCTGACACGGAGCAGTGTCAGAATAGAAAAAAAAACTGTTTTTGCCCATTGGAATGCATTGCTAGATTCCTATTGGCTATTTCAATTTGCAATAGCCAATAGTAAACTAGCATTGTACCCGCCCTCTGCTGATGGACCTGATGGAGAACTGCAGCAGAGGGCTGGTACACTGCTAGTTTACTATTGGCTATTGCAAAATGAAATAGCCAATAGAAATCTAGCAATGCATTCCAATGGGCAAAATATATATATTTTTTTCTATTCTGACACGGCTGCGTGTCAGAATAATAGAAATAAAGAAACAGCAGTGTTTCTCTCCTTGGCGGCCGGGAGCGGGAGACTCCCGGAGCGCCAGGGAGAGTTTGCTGTCTGGAGATCAGTGTCCCTAGTTAGCAGGTAACCAGGGACGCTGGTCTCTCTGCAAGTGGCCGGAGCCAGCCGTAAGATCACGGCTGGCTCTGCCCAGCTGTCAGAAGCAGGCTGTCTCAGCTTCGGCTTTCAGCGCGGCTCAGCCGGGCCGATGCATATGCGTTCGGTTCGACTGAGCCGCTCGGCCACGTTCGGGAGCTGTACGGGCTATAGTGAATAGCCCGTACAGCAGCCCTTCGGTTCTACTGAACCGAAGGGGTCCTGGGGCCGAAGCTAACCGAAGGATCTTCCGAAGCTACGGCTAGATCCTTCGGCAGCTTCGTGAATAGTAGCAGGTACGCTAAGGGCCAATGTACTAAATCATATGCACTTACACTGCTGTATCACTGCATACATGAGCAGACTGAACAACATAATTGTATTCTCACCCTGCGCTTGTAACCGTGGGCATAACGTAAATTCAATCATAACTGTAGTTTGCTTAGGAGTGTATGCTCCAGGGCCCAAACATAAGCCAGCTAAGTGCTGGTGTAACTAAAGGTAAAACAGGATTTTCTCTAGTGTTTTTGTGACTATCGGACATCTGTTAGCTACTTTGCAAGTGATTCCTCTCTACACTTGTCCTTTCCTTTTGTAAATCAGGTCTTACGTATTAAGCGCAAGTGCTATGTTCAAATTCACCCATGCACAGCAGAGTCTTACTTACAGTTGGGGTTACTTGATCCATACGCAATAAGCAGACAAGAAACTCCAAAACTGGCACTGAAAAAAAAGGAAAACAATTTTTTTTGTTTCTGAATATTGAGTATTTTTAGTCACAAAATACAATCAACCCAAGTGTGGTATTTCTTTTGGTAGATGCTGAAGAGTTAAACCACCTGTTTCCTATTTATCTTGGGGTCACTGGTGGTGAGATTCCAGCATACAGGCCCAGTTTATAGACTTATGAATTTGCTTTATGTTTGGAAATGCAATAATAGGAACACCCACACAGGAGGGTGTACACACGTTACTCTAACATGGGTGGAAACAAAGATATGAACTGTGAATAAGTCATTGATGGAATGAGATATAAGAAGCCAAAAGGTGACTCAGCTCGATAGACTTCTCTGAAAACTGAAATACACGGTGGTGGACTTGACTCTTTTTTTAATAAAAATTACAGCAGAGAAAAAATCAATGTATTAAACCTAGTAACCAAAATATTAATGGCTGCTATGGGGGACAAGGTAACTTGTCGATATACATGAGCCGCGATATATGAAAAGACAATAAAGATCACTCACCTTCCACTTAGTCTCAGCTTGCGTGGACCATACTTGTCCATGATGATCCCCAAAGGAAGTGAGATGGCGCTAAGCAAGAAAGAACCCACTGTAAAAGCCAGATTTAACATTTCATCTTGTTCTTTACACACCAGCCAGCCATTCAGCTCTATGATTTGTTCTCTGTCTGTGTCATTTTCATGAAGAGCGCTGCTGTTTGTGGAGTTGTAATATGTTGTATTTTCTGTAGGAAAGAAGGAAGAGTCAGGTCTGTGTAAAACATTTGCACCAAAACAGCTACTGTATCAAGACAGCCTTGACATAAGATGCTATTACAATCTAGATGTGCAATTGCATTCTGACATAATATAAAGCTCCATTTTTCCAACAATGCTAATAAAACACTGCAATACTGTCAGCTAAAACAATGAAAAAGCAAGCAAATGTAGGTAATGCATTACAGCCGCTACAATGATTTACACCTACTGTATGCATGTAACTGTCGCAAACCTGTGCAAAGATGGAGATGATTTACAATATGTCAATCAGTAAATATATAATGGCACTTCACTGTTATCAACAGTTATTTGTCTCATAGTTCTTTACAGGAATGAGGTCCTTTTTTGCCCCCATATTCAAAGTAGAACATATGTGTTTAAAGCCTGGATTTAAATACTCTCTAGGATGATACTTTCCTGATGGAACCACATAGCCAGAAACAATCTAAACCAATGAAGCACTGTGCTAGTAATACCACAGTACTTATTTCACCTATTTGTTAAACTTCATGAAATGTGATAATATGTTATCTCATTGGTTTGATTAAATGGAAGTTGATTAATGCTGCCATTTTATGCCAAATTGAAAGGAGTAGATATTGTTCATAAAGAAGGGGCCAAAATATTTATAAAATGAATTGCTGACTGGTCACTTTAAGGTGAAGAGCCACTGAAAACTTGTTTTCTGGGGACGGATACGTTTGTGAAACTTGCACCCCTATAGTGGAACCACTATGCAATGCTAATGTGGAGTGAGATGCTTGGTGCACCCTAAGAAGTCATAGTCCAAGCAGGTGGCAGTCAGCTGTTAAACACTTAGGATGCCCCTAATACCATATGGGGACAATACTCTTAGAACAGGCTACTTGATTGTATCTGAGCTGCAGTATTTCACAGCTAAGCTGGCGAGAGGGAAATAGAGGGTGTAAAGATCTAAACATACAGCTAATTTAACTGCTATGGTGTGGTGGAAGTCCTGCATGAATTGTCAAGTCCAAGGAGTGGTCCCCTCTGTGGGTGGCTAAGCAAGCTGCCTAAAACTAGTCCAGATTGTCCATATTGCAAAGCATCTATTTACCAAGCTGTGAAAACATGTCACCTAGCCAGGCTTTGAAATCCCCAAAAATAAACTCATCTAAGTTCCAGAGGTAAAATGAACAGAAGCCCTGATATTTCCTTGAGAAAGGTTAAACTGTGCCCAATGCCCAGTGGATTACTAATACTTTGATGTTTGTAAAATATTTTTCATGTGTTCAAATTCTTGAGTGGATGAATTGGAAATAAAGACTGGACCTAAAGGTCTGTGATTGACTGCTTGGGAAGACAACGATTTTTATGGGGAAAAAGATACATTACAAGACGCACTGGAAGCAGATCTGATTTTGTTGCAAAATTGGGGCCCATTTATACAGGAGCGGCTGTCCGTGCGTATTCGGCCATACGAATACGCGCGGAGCCACTCTAAACATAAAAAACAATGCACTTTAATGACTTTTGCGGCAGAGAAGTTCAAAGCATTTGTCTACCATGCATTTCAAAAGCACACCCTTAAAATTAAGTTCAGTTTCCCCTCCCCCACTTCCCGGGCTAAGCATCATAATATTTCCCAGGATTTTGTTACTTATTATAATATAGCTGGTCATTTTATCTGGTGATTTAGTGGTTGGGTGTAAATCCTTGAACACACGTTGCTATGCTTTACAAGATAAAATCAATTCCATTCCTGTCTACACTGCCATTGTATTGCTTCAATCCTCAATGATTAACTTTTCCTTTCTGAAACATGTTTGTTCCTTCTTTTCCTGTTTTCCCACCACTGCAGAAGTGAGCGGAAATCTCTCTAAGAAGGGCACCGACAGCAATGAAAGCTAGACAGAGGTTCTTCACCCCATTCTGCTAGTGCATATTTATAAAAAAGCGAATGTGACATTAACTGCAGGTGAATCAATTACAGTACCAGGAAGATACATCTGCAGTGAATGGTTGGTGAATGCCACAGTCAATGCTTTATAATAAATATACCCCAACGTGTTTATAAAGCTGTCTGTGTCCCCATTGTAGATATTTCTCTATACTTTCAGTCAAAATTTTCCCCACTGTAGCCAAAACAAAAAAATTTGGCAGAGGTTTGAGTTTTAATTAAACCTTAATAAAAAAAAAATTATATAGTGCTGCAGACCTCAGTGCTTACCATTGTTGCATGACTGTTTTTCTTTTTTTTTAAGTGTTAGGTTGGTTGCTTTTAGTTCCTTATATCAAATGCCCCCCTTCCTCACTAGTTGTTTTCAGGTGGCTCTGCCCCTTACGGGGTTCCATGGAGCCACCTTTGTGTGTGCACTCCCTGCTGGCAATACAGAGGATATATTGTGTGAAGTCAATCCTGGCTGGCAATACAGAGGATATAGGCTTTGTGTGAAGTAAATCCCGGCAGGCAAAACAGACGATATAGGCTTTGTGCGAAGTCAGTCCCAGCTGGCAATACAGAGGATATAGGCCTTGTGTAAAGTCAAGCCTGGCTGGCAATACAGGGTGTGCGCTCCCCTACCCACAACTTCGGGAAACCTTTGTGGACAGTAAATGAACCCATGTAATTGTTTTGCTTGGTATGTGGCCCAATGGGGAATGTTTAACAAGTTGTGTAGGATGTGGAAAAAATGGGGAGTGTTTCATACTACTTTAATATTTATAAGAACCACATAAATTCTAACCATCCATTTCATACTTATCCCAGGACAAATATTTATCCTGCTTGTTGCTTTCATTTCCTAAAGCGCACTGGCAGGAAAATGGCAGTGTATCGCCAGGTGCATGTTTATTAACTTACTTTCAGAATTTTAGAGAAAGTTCTGGCTGGATCACAGAACGTTCTGTTATTCTGTATCCAGATGCTCAGGATCAGTCATGTTTATAACAATACTAGACACTAGGGGTTATTTCCCAGCAGGCCCCACTCTGTTTCTATAAAGATATCTGTGCAGGAGCCATAATAGAAAGAAAACACCCAGTAGCAATACTGACCGATGAGAAAGAATCATTCTTTACTGACTATGGCGTTGCAAATGTAAAAAAATTAAAGCATACAACCTCTTCACACATACCATCCTTTATTTCATTTGAAATAGTCTTAAAGGAGAACTATGAGGTGAGTGATTTTCACTCAACCTCATAGTTTGAGCCGACATGTGACAATGAAACTGTCACACGTCGGCTCAATAGATCATGAAGTGAACGAACACATACCGTTGCTCGCTCACTTCTCGATCATCTCCCTGCAGAGAGCCATGACTGTCACTCACAGCTCCCTGCAGGGATTCCCACCCTCCCCTGTCCGATCCTCCAGCCCTGACTGGCGGAACAGATGGGGGAGGGGGCGGGTACAGCTGGCTCTGCCTCTAGATAGGCAGAGCCAGCTGTCACTCACGCAGCCGGGTGGATCTCGACAATAATGTCGGGATCCGTCCCGGCTGCGGTGGTCTCAGTATACTGCGAGCTGTAGCTCGCGATATACTGAGCTTTGGGTCACGCGAGGACGCTAGTTTAGGTCCTCCCATGACCCTTAGGACAACTATGGGGAAAAACACTTACCCCATAGTTCTCCTTTAACATAATTGTAAGTCTTATTTCACTGAATTTATATTCTGCTTTGATTAAGGCAGTGAAGAGACAATAAGGATCAATCTATGTTATCCAACATGGCTGCTCAAAGAGGGCTCATTCATACAGGAGTAGAGATCTGTGTACTGTAAAAAAACATGCCTCCCAGGAGCCATAGGTTTTGCGTACAGCTCATCTGTACAAATCAATGGCAGGCTGCGGTTGTAGGTTAGTAAATGCTGCCTTGAGCGCATACCAGTGTACAGATATGGATATACGGTCCATAGACACAGACCCTGACTGCATCCAGGGGTGTACATCTGAACCTGTACGGATGTACACGCTTGGGGCAGTGTTTACCATTGTACAGCCGCAGCCTGCCATTGATTTGTACAGGCAGACTGTACACAACACCTATGGCTCCCGGCTGATGTGTTTTACAGTACCTGGACCTCTACGCCCATCTGATTGAGCTCCGTACCCCCAGCAGCTATGCAAGATGTCACTTTACCTTTCAGTAACAGATCATTTCTGACCGATTTATTTGCACAGGTGTTGAATCTATAAATGCACCCAGTGAACAGAGATTTTTCAAATGCTCCCACTGCAGGAGAGGGGGGTTAGGAAAATTAGTGGGACAGACATTGCCATGTAATCAATTTTGCCCCCAAAGTGAGGGGGTACTTGACAGGTGTGGGACAGGTGCACTGCATTCCTCTCTCTTGGTGTCTACATGAAAAAGCTCTATAGAAAACCAAACATGAGAATCATTGATCCCTATGGAAAACAGATGGTCAGTGGACATAGCAATGATTACAACAGATGCTAGACAATAGGACTGTGGACATAGAACAAGTCAGTAGCCTTTTCATCAACCTTTTCTTTGTTTTTGCTACACAACATTATTCAATTATTAATCAATATACCGTACACTGCATCAACTATATTCTTCAAATAAATATAAGCTTGAAACTCTTTGGTAACAGAATCTGATATAATAAAGCAGCATGTAGCATTTGTTAGTCTACAGTGGTCTTTGTCTCTCTTTCTCTCTGATGGTATGGACTTTCATATATGAATAATTATAACATATTGACTCTAAGGGGCCATCACACTTTTGCCTTGTGTTAACGTGGCATTTAACACACTGTGATGCAATGCATGCTGACATACAGGTGTATGTGCATTGTGTTATGGTGCCATTTAGTTTAAATGTCACCCCAATGCACATGCACAGAAAATAAATGCACCTGAGCTATAGTGCGCCCCAACACACAGATGTGAATGCTCTTAGGGTTGTGAAGTGCTGAGGGTCCATGTAAAACGAATGGGCTATCTTAACGGAGCACTCCTAAACGCAGAAAAAAGTATG